ATTCCAAAGCCTGACACTCAATGCTGCATAGTGGCTGGGACTTTGCAGGGGATGCACTGACATGTGGTCCCACTGTGACCTGGGCTTTGTCACAGCAGGGAGGTCTTAGGTTGCATTTCTTATATGGTGCTCTAAAAAGCACAGTGTCCTCCTGGACAAAGTGGAACTTGTACTCCCTTTATAATCTAGCCTAGGAAGATGTACAGCATCACTTCTGCCATACCCTACTGGTCAACGCAGACACAGTCTCCCCCACACTCAAGGAAAGAAGCAGAGATTCCATTATTGATAGGATGGGTGGCTGGTCATGTCACAGGAAATGCTGAGGTGACCATCTTTATGCAAAGCTACTCTCCACATTTTGGTATTATGCAGGTTATTTTTTTTTCTTTTCATTCTCAGCCACTACCCATCTATTCTCTGCACCCCAGCATGCTGGCACCTATAGATGACATCGCCCTAGCAGCTCACCAGAGAAGAGCACCAGCAGGTGATCCAAGGTCAGGAGGAGAGAAGCTCAGGGAACATACTCCTTACGCCTGCCCTGCTCGGGTACCACGCTCCTGGCAGTAGCTACATTTCTCTGGAAATAAGCAGAAGTGGCCCCTTCTCCATAACTCAAGCTCTGACTGGTTTCCACATACGATTTCCATGATTTCCGATCCTTTTCCCTTTATAGCAACAGGTGCTTTTTACTACTACAAATCGCTAAGTGCCTCGGTATCCCCTGTTTGTCTCTTCACGACCCATAATTCTATAAATAGTTCCTGCATTAATCTCTCATTTAAATATCAGAGAGAATTCTGATTTGTCTCTGGGCAATGACTGATAGGGGACCACAATAGAAATAGAGACTGCCCAAAGAAAAAACGTAATACATAAGCAGACTAGCAAAATCACCTTTCTATTGTATTTGATAGAATAGTGGAATAGTACAATTATATCCCTCCATCACTAATTGAATTTCCACATTGACAGAAACAAAAATATCTGTATGTCTGTATGCTGGATGTCTCAACTCTAACCTAGTAGTTTTTCAAAAATGAACTTTTCTGCAAAAAAGATGAGTGATTCTTTCAAAAGCCTTGCTCAAATATTTCTATTGCTATTGCTATAAATATTGCTATTTATTTCTGACTTACCATAAAAAATCTTAAGTTTTTTATTACTCTTATAAAACACGTTTGCTTCTATTGAATTACCTCATTCTTTTCAAAGTGTTCATAAACAAAATACTAAATAATTCACTTTATGGCTTTGCTGGAGAGTAAAATTAAGCCTACTGTTCTGTGCCTTTCAGAATTTCTTTTTTTTTCCTTTTTTAAAAAAGAATGTATACCCATCTTGAGTTTAGAGACACTATTTCTGCATTCCATGACTTCTCAAAGATGATGAGTGGTGATGAGGATGATTACATCTGTAGGATTCCTGATTATCCTTGATGATGGAAGTGTCACTTTACAGTCCTGAATACCTTTAAAGAGGCCAATAATAAGAGCCACCACTTACTGAGTACCAGGCAAGCATCTCAGTTCTTCATTGTGATCTAGTCACCTACGCTGTGCCAAGTGCTGTTTTTTCTACACAACGTGATGCTTAACAAAAATAAAGCCAATTTGTTATATTAGTTCCCCCTGTTCAAAGAAATTTTTCTTTTCAATTTAAAGACAATGGCCCTTTTCCTCCAGTTAATCTTTTTGGAAGCCTCATCTCATTTTGGCCTAATTCTAAAACAATTCTTACATTAATGGCACCAGCAGTATCTTTTCTCTTTTTAAAAATGTTATTGGTTTTGCATCATTGGTTATATTCTCCTACCTTCTAAAATGTATACTTGTTTTTGTTCTTGTCTCTTGTTTGTTTAGAGACATAGTCTCACTGTGTTGCCCAGGCTGGAATGCAGTGGCATTCCATAGCTCACTGTCACCTTGAACTCCTAGCCTCAAGTAAACCTCCTACCTCAGCCTCCTGAGTAGCTGGTATTATAGATGTGCACCATACTTGTCCTTATAAATAATACTATCTGAATTCCTTCTAGTTTCTTTAGATATGGCAGCATATTTTCCTCGCTGAATCATTTAAAAACTCAGAAAATACTTTGTTGTAATTTCTATCCCTCTTGCTTTATACTACTATTTAGAGTTTCTGTCCCATCTTCCCACCTAGACACTTAGACTATACTACACTGTGATACCAAGAATTGAATCTTATGTATCTTCTGTTTTTCAAAGAATACTCCGCATAGCATCTTCTATAAAAAAAAAAAAAAAATGTATTTGCTTTGTATTTATAATATATTGTGGGGGAAAGGGAATAATATTAATAAATTGAAGTTCATACTATTTAACAAGTCTCTGGAGAGAGATGCCAGATATATATTCACAAATAATTAAAGGGAATAAGAAGACCACAAATGTGAATGTAAACTGAATAGCGAAGTAGCCAATCTCAAAGCATTGAGGGGGAATGATAGTCAGCTTCGTAAATAATGGTTAGATGCCATCCTAGCTAGACATAGAGTTCTACAGAGGAGCAGGCTGGGGTTGGAGGGGGCAGTGGTAGGAAAGAGGCCACATGGAGATGACATTCTTAAATTTAGTTGTCTCACTGCGATTAACAGTTGAAAAATTCAAGTGACTGAACTGTAAGTAGATGGCTAATTTTAAAATTTCCCCAATACAGCAGAACCTCTAAAAGTTGAACATCCAAGGAACGGTAACTGTTCAATGTATGGAAGTGATCAACTTAAGGAACCAGGCCTACTATACCTGTAAGTACATGTGGTAAAGCTCTACTTAAGGAGGTGATCAATACAGAGAGCCTACTGTATTCTTTTTGAATTTTAACCAATATTAAATCTATATCTTAATCTTTGTGGCCAGTTTCTACAGATGTGGTTCTTCACTTGTTCTAAGTGTCCAACACACATAGTTAACACTACCAAGCAGGGTGCAGCCAGGGGTGTGGACTGAAGCTTACTGGGTTTGGAAGGTCACTTCTAAGGAAGAATACAAAACTACAAATATAAAATTAGGTAGAAACAAATTTTTATTTAGAATGAGAAAAAAAATCTCAATAAATGACTGGAGATATGAAGATTCCCTATACTGACAGAGCTTTAGGCAACTTACCAGAAATGCTTACCTAGAGATGGTAAGAAATGCTAATATTTCTTTCCCACCTAGAACAAGTACAACTCCAGCAAACCCCAGAACTACCACAGCCTTCAGCAAATGAACAGCTCTGAAGCTTACATTTCATTAGCTTCACCTTGATCCCTTCCTGACAAGAGGGTCTCATTGAAATGTCTTCACAAGTCACAGTGGCTCATGCCTATAATCCTGGCACTCTGGAAGGCTGAGGTGGGAGGGTCTTTGAGCTCAAGAGTCGAGACCAGCCTGACAAGAGAGAGATCTCATCTCTACTAAAAACAGGAAAACTAGCTGGGCGTGGTATGGTGCAGACCTTTACTCCCAGCTACTTGTGAGGCTGAGGCAAGAAGATTGCTCAAGCTCAAGAGTTTGAGATTGCTGAGAGCTATGACACCATGGCAGTCTACCCAGGGCAACGGAATGAGACTCTGTCTCAGAAAAAGAAAGAAAGGAGAGAGACAGAGAGAAAGAAAGAAACAGTGATTCTTAGAAGGCAATGGGACACCAAGAATCTAAAGAAAGAGAAACCTGTTGAGAAACTTCAAACAATCTTAGATGATTCTGATACACAGTTGCCACTCCCAGCACCTGTCCTCCATGCGGGACCTTTCACAATACATAACCATAAATTAATGTTCATCTACTTAAAAGTCAATGCAAAGAAGGAAGTAAAGTAAATCATCAATCAACTGGCCACATGTCCTTGATTTAGGCAGGGTTTTTTTTAACTTTTACAACTACACATAAAATTATTCCACAGTTTTATAATTTAAATAAATGGAAAAGCCAAGCGCATAAAACTGTGCTATCCTGTCTGAATATCTGGAATACAACTCAGTCTACCACTCCATTTAGCCTTAAGTAAAAATAAGGCTTCTATAGTCCTCTTTAAAGTCAGAGAATGCTTGTTCCCCTAACTTGGGATGCTCTCCCAGAATAAAGGCACTGGTTAAGTAGGTAAGGTGCTTTACTTAACATCTCAAGGTAACACTGAACTACTGCACGGGCTTATTAATAATTAATACAATGTTCTGATCCGAACTTAAGTCTTTTATGAGCAGCCACTTGAGAGGCTGGAGTGACATTCAACTGCCCTGCAGTTTCTCTAAAACCGCTAGTATACGCGCACGAAAAGTCTACCACTAACCCAAACAAGTTAATTTCCCTCCAACTATAAAACAAGCTAGGAAAGGCCTCTGGTTCTAGATTTCCTGGGGGAAGAGAAAATCGAAAGCGGCTGCCTGGGGGTTAGGTGGCAGTGGCTGACCATCAGAAAAATCCTGAGCTCCACAGCGAAGGTGCTTCCCCGGGGACAGGTGACCTTCTCCTGCAAGGAGTGGATTTCCTCATACCTATTCCCACAGGACTTGAGACTCACCTCGGGTGTCACCGAAGTCTCAAATCCACAGCCAACAACACTAAATCAAGAATATTTCCTCTAAACTTGGCGGATGCCTCTCCTAGAGTTCAGGTCTATTCTTGCCTGAAAAGAGGCTGGCACGGGCGGGGGGCGGTTTAGGCCACTCGCCTCCCGTATTCGGGCACTGTCGCCAACAGATGTACGTGACACATAAGGAGAAGGGGGAAGAAATTAGAACTTTGCAGAGTTCACCAAGCCTCGACCCCGCCGAGCTGAAGGTCAAGCTGAGAAGGAGGGAGCGCCTGGGATTCGGGGCCCCGTCGCCACACAGCCACGGGCGCGGTGGGAGCGGCCGGTGGGGTCCGGCCGCCCGGGAGACCTCGGCCGCCCCGGCTCCCGCTCCGAGCCCAGCCGCCGCCCAGACGGGCAACGGCGGCAACTCCGGAGTTGCCTGGGAACTTTCCCGGGACGCGCCGCCGCCGCCTCACCTTACTGAACACCTCCAGGTCGTCCTCGTCCTCGTCCAGGTCCAGCACCTCAGCCTGCAGCAGCGCGGAGGAGCCGCTGCCGCCCGGGAAGGGGGCGCCGCCCCCCGGGCTCTCCCCGTCGGCGCCCCCGGCCGAGAGGCCCGAGGAGCGCCTCCGAGATGCCTGGCGCTCGCCCTCCATCCCGAGAGTGCGCGCCGGCCCGGCCGCCGCCGCCAGCCCGGCTCCCCCGCGCGCGCCCATTGGCTCCCGCGCATCCTGCGCCTCCCCGGCCGGCCCCGCTCCAGCCCCTCGCCGGCTGCGCAGACGCGGAACTGCCGGGACGCGCGGCGGGTCGGGGAGCGCGGCCGGCCGGGGCAGGGCGCATCCCCAGCGGGCCTGGGGCCGCGGACGGCGCAGGAGCGGGACTCCCGGGCTCCGGCGGGGCGGAGAAAGGCACGACTGTCCCCTGGAGGAAGGGGCAGACTCGAAGGTAGGAGGTGGGCGTCCTCACACAACCCCCGGCGCCGGGGTCCCCGAACGAGGCTTGGCGCGGTGGCGGGGTCTGGAAAGAAGCCACCGAGGGAGCCGTCCACTTCGCGGGAACCACAGCAGGGCTGGAAGGCAGCCGACCCGGCCGGCTGGGAGAAAACGGCCAAGACTGTATTTCCTGTATTTAGTGGCTGTCTTTCTTCTGGGTTGGGATTTTCGAGCTAATGCACAAGTAAAAGACCTGAAAACTTCCTGCTTTGTAATTGATTTTTGCCCCAGTGACTGGCCTGTACGGTCGTTTCACTGTCAAACCAGGGAAGCTGAGCTTTAAAAACTATTTTCAGCCACTTTCAGATGGATCTTTACTCCTGGAAGTCTTCCTGAAGTTAATGAGGAAGAGAGAAGGACATCTAGCAAGACTGGAAATCGCCGTCCAGAAATAACCTTGGGTCCTTGCACTGCCAGCCTAAAGCTGTAATTATTTAACGGCTCACGGCTTATTGTTAAAAACAAACAACAATGGTAACAAAAACCCTAAATTCCAAAACTGATGGACAAATGAATGCATGTCGTTATACATTTTTAAAGTATTTTCAGGTTTTATTATTTACTGCCCGTAGCTCCCACCCCCACCCGTTTTCTGTTGTTATTGAAAACTTTTAAGTAAATAAAGATATATGTGGGAATTCCCTGTTTGGGGAAATAGAGAGCATCCTTATTTCTGATTGGAGGACAGGGCCTAAACAATACCTTCTCTCTTAAGCATTCCAATTCGCTTCCTGTGGATTTCAGGACGGTTACCTTTCAGTCAGGTTGGCCCCTGTCCTGTGCTTTCTTCCTGTTCTTTATGATTCCTGTACCTAAAATGCCATTTCCTGCCTGTCTCTCAGAAATTGACTATAAACAGCCCTGACTCTTTCAGAAAGACTTTCTAAATGACAGTTCCCAATTTAGCATTTCGTTTTATTTCATCTTATAGATTGTATTTTTTTAATGTAGTTGTCTTACATTCCTTAGTAACTAACATTTTTTGGCCTAGGTTGTGAACATGTATTCATAAAACACATCAGACATACTCAATAAAGCTTCTTTGCTAAAGTCTATAAAGAATGCGTGTTAGCAAAAGACTGACTTTTTCCTCTCATTTTTTCCCCCTCACTAGCTAATTCTGGCTAGTGTGGAAGATTCAAGTTTTCCTAGTTGCAGTTAGAAACAGGAAATTCTTAATAATACTGTGACTCACGGAATTGCCAGAAAGCATAGGGAACAGGCTCAGAAAAGGGCAGAACAAACCACGGCAGCATAACTTGGATCATAGCCAAAACTATGCCAGAGAAACCCACGGTTCCCACATCGCTGGGACCACCGTCTGATATCACCTTCACACACTGCCATTAAAGCTTACGTTACTCAACTCCAGTTTCTGTCTCCAACATCAAGACCACAGCTTCCCCTGAGAACTTCCCTGCTGTTACTGCTACATAAATGCCCCTGGGGTCCTATTTCTCTGTGTTGATTGTTCTAGTTTTAAAATTCGGGAGGATATGTCTGCTTGGCCCATCTGGCGAAGTTTCACGGAGATTGCTAAAGCAGAGAATTTTCCAAACATAGAAAGGCCATTTTGATGCTGGTCAGCCAAAAAAAAAAAAAAAAAAGAAAAAAAGGAAGAGGTAAAAGCAACCCAAGCCTCATTCACTCTTTTAGCGGTCGGACACTAATCACATGTTTTTTTCACATACTCACTCTGCCTTCTGTGCAATATAGTCCAACTATGCCTCAAGCACCTGGGCATACAGTTTACAGTTCCCCAAAGGAAGAAAATCTCACAGCTACTCATTATTGGTACAACTGTAAATACACTATGTCTATTTCTCCTGTGGTCTCAATTTCCCCTTTAATGGAACCACCACTGGGTTCTTTAATAGATGGATTCTTATTTGGGTACCAAACCCTTTAAATCAGTCTAGTCCAAAACTCTGGGTACAGGTATAATGTTAGGAGGCGCTCTACCCAGTCCTATCCTGTATAGGGAAAGTTATGTTGTATATTAATTTTTGATTCCAATAACATATATTAGCATATTGTCTACAAAGTTCTTTCTCTCCCACATCCCCACACCTTCCAAGTGGGATCTCCTGAGGACATAACTGGGTCTTAAATATGCTTATAAAGTCAGCTGTTTTTAGACATAAGATTCATGGTAAGAGCCATGGACATTTCCCAAAGGTTTTGCTTCTTTTGTTAGACAATGATTTAACTAGTTAGAAAAAATGAGATATATGAAATTTGATGTGGAATAGACCAGTAAATTAAATCCATGGATGATCAGAATGGGAGAAATTTGGTGAGTGGGGAGAGAGAATCCAGTGTCTTTTTCCTTAAGAATAAATCACGACATCTTCCACCTCAAGTTACTATGGCAAATTGAGCACTTAGCAGGGGAAGTAGCCAATTCTTCTTTAGTGAACTGACATCCTTATTATTGAGCCAATGCATAGTGTATATCTGTCACCACGGCTACTTGGTATTCCAAACCATGGAATAAGCACTGGAGTTTCTAAAAAAAAAATAGAATTAACATCTGCAGAATAAGAATTCTTATCAAACTTATTGATGATATAAACTCATCAGTTAGTTTTTTGGGAAGCATTGCCATGGTCTATACATAGACTTTTATTCTGGAGCCATTCCAAGGAACTCATCCATATACATTTTCCCAAACCTCCCCCAGGATCCTACCTGTTTTTTCTAAATTCCATCAAGTCTAATCTTTGTCTTTTGTCCTTGAAACAGCAGCGAATACTCATCCTAGACTCCCCTTTGAAACATAGTGGGCATTTTTTTGTACCAAGAGAAGGATTGCCTTTTTGCACTGCCTCCTCTTTATAGTGGTATAGTTCTAGATGATTCTAGCACATGATAAAGAACCATCTGTAAACCAGATTTGGGGTTTTTTTTTTTAACCTCTTGGTTAACTGTTCAGACAGAACACCCTCTGAGATTAGTAGTAGACCTGCTGGGAGTGAGAGCCAGATGTTCATACCAAGTGTGCTTTTAGAACCGTGTTCATAGATAAAGTTTTCACATGAGTATGGTTCACTGGAGGCTCATTAAATTTTATGATTTTTTTCATTGTTATAGCATCCATTTCAAGTTGAACTCCTTGAATAACAAGGTCACCTAATGTCCCAATGGTAGTTTTTTTTTTTTTTCTTGCAGTTTTTGGGCAGGGTCAGGTTTGAACCCACCACCTCTGGTATATGGGGCCAGTGCCTTACTCCTTTGAGCCACAGGCACCACCCCCCAATGGCTAATTTCTTAACTACCTAGCAAAGAGGGTATGTTTGCCCTTAAAAGATTTTTTTTCTTTCAGATCTTGTTACAGGCTCCCAGAAACCATCCTTATTTTCTATAAGCTCATCAGTAACAGTAAAAGCTACTAGGAATCTACTTACTTTGAGTCAGACACTGTTATTAGTACTTTATGTATGTTCACAAGTGCCTTATGATGTAGCTACTGTTTTTGCCATCTCCATTTTACAAATGAAGAAGCTGATAAATACTGAAGTTAAATAACCTACCCAAGCTGTACAGTAAATGGTAGGTACCATATTTTGCCATGTATAACGTAAACTTTTCTGCCCAAATGTTTGAGGGAAAAATAAGGATGCACATTATACAGGTAGTAATATTTCTGTATCTGTATAAATGTTCTTAATTCTTTTATTGGGGCTTGCGTATTAAAAATATAACTCTAGAAAGCAATGACAATATTTGTATGCAAAATAATATCGTACTAAGTTTGGTTGAACTTACGATGAACTTGCAATGAAAGCATTTTCAACCAATGATAGGTAGAAGCTAGCTGATATTTTTATAAAAATTATTGGAAAATGTTGAATTGGTATCCAAACACTGCAAGCTTAAAGCTAACAGTTATTAAATACACTAAAGAGCATGAGAACAGAGCTGCTAAGGGACACTGTGGACCTCCTCTCACTGTTGTCAGATTGTGGAGGCAACAGAAAGAAAACCTTCTCCAGATGCCAAGGAAGAAGAATGCAATGTGAAGGAAACCTCCAAAGGGCCCACAGGTGGAGCAGGAGATGAAAACCTGGATAAACCCAGATTCTGGAGTGGCAGCAGACTGGGATCTCTCTTTTTTTTTTTCTTATGAGACAGAGCCTCAAGCTGTCCCCCTGGGTAGAGTGCCGTGGCATCACAGCTCATAGCAACCTCCAACTCCTGGGCTCAAGCGAGTCTCCTGCCTCAGCCTCCCAAGTAGCTGGGACTACAGGCACCCGCCATAATGCCTGGCTATTTTTTGGTTGCAGTCGTCATAGTTGTTTGGTGGGTACCGGCTGGATTCGAACCCGCCAGTTCAGATGTATGTGGCTGGTACCTTAGCCACTTGAACCACAGGTGCCAAGCCTGGGATCTCCTTTTTGACTAAGAAGATATAAGAGGGTAAAAGGATTGTATGAGGAAAAAAAAAAAAAAAGACATTGATGATTTCTCAGGAATACCTAAATGGTGCTTTAACTTTATGAAGGGAGAAGGTTTGAGGATATGAAAGAAACTTTCCCAAAACATTCCAACAATCTATGAAAATCAAGTTGTGGAATTTCACTCTTATACTATCAACCTCTGAAAGACTTACAACTTTGAACTGTTTGAATTACTAACATGGGTGAGGTCCCCATCATTCACGTTTGATGTGCCATCCAAAGAACTATGGATGTCAAAGGAGCAA